TTGTTTTCCCAAACTGTGGCTTCCTCCAACTTAAAAATAACAGCAAAATTATTCTGCAATAATAATAGCAGCTAAGATTTACAGCCAGATATAGCTATTTAAACAGAAGTCCAAAAGGTTATATACATTATTTGATTCTCTCGTAAGAACCTTATGAAATAGGTTATATATTCTACATTCTTTGTTTTTGCTCCAGGCCTTTTATTATTTCAGTGCTCTCTGGATTGGACCCATCAGGAAAATAGTCTCAGTAGTGTGTGTGGCCTTCCCTGGTGGGCAGGACATGGCTCCACTGGGCTAGTAGGTAGCTCTTTTCTGACCTTGCTGATGAACTGGGCGTGAGAGTGCAGGGTGAACATGCTTCTTCTCTGGGATGCTAAATTCATATTGTCCATTTTAGACATCTTGTCTCCTGGTGGGTACCCAGGCAGCCCTCGGTGCAGTAGCAGGCCCCACAGCTCACACAGCATATGGTGACCGGAAGCCACATACAGCACAGAAGGGGCACTGGGACTCGGTGGGCGCCCTCCCCCAGACTGTCAGGTACTTGGGACCCTTGGACACACCAGGTTCTGCTCCTCCAGCAAGACCTGAAAGTTTTTCTGGAGGTGAAGTTTGAAATGGTCACCTCAAGTTTTCCTCTTTTTCTTTCCTGTATCTGTATCATCATCGAATTGAGGCAGCCGCTTGCCCAGCTGGGGGAGGCCTGCATGGGGAGTCTTCCTGGAAGTTGTTATTTTCTAAGCCTTCAAATTCTTGGTTGATCCTGCCTTGTCAGGCAGCCCTGTTCAGCACCTGCCACTGTCAGGATCCTGGGAACAAACTTGTCTCATGTCTGCATCTTGGGTTTTCTATGGCCTCCGGTTGTTTTCCTGGTTCTACATTCTTTCAAATATTCATACGAGGAAACTGAGTTTTAGGGAATTAACTTGTTAAAGGCAATATGCTTAGTAAGCCAAGAGTCATATCTAGGTCTGCTTATTTTTAAATATTTATTTATCCAGATGGGGTGACTATGTAACCCTGGCTAACCTGGAACTCTCTATGTAGACTAGGCTGACCTCAAACTCATAGAGATTTGCCTGCTTCTGTTTCCCAAGTACTGAGATTAAAAGCCTACATCACCATGCCTTTTTTTTTTTTAAATAAAGAAAGTAGTTTTTAACCTTGATTGGACTACTAGACTCTATTAATAGCCTGTAAAAACTCTTGATGTCTGGGCCTGTCCTACAAGATTTTGGTTTAGTTGACCAGAGGTAGATCACATCTGTGATCTCAAGCAAGTTTACTGTACAGAGTTAAAAACCAGTGCTCTCAGGGGCTAGAGAGATGGCTCAGTAGCTGAAAGCACCAACTGCTCTACAAAAGACCTGGCTTCAGATCCCAGCACCTACATGGTGGCTCACTGATGCCCTCTTCTGGCCTTCACTGGCATTACATATCCATAGTGCACATATATGTGCAGGCAAAACACTCTTACACATAAAATAAAAATAAATGAAATATTTAAAAAAAACCAGTGCTATCCAGCTGGGTTGTCCATGTGACCAAATTTAATTAAATAAAATGGTGATGCCTTAGTCACACTAGATAGTTTTAAGTGCCCAGTGGTTATATGTTGTTAGTGGCAGCCATATTGGACTATGTAGATATTAGAACATTGTTATGGCTGAAGAAAGTTTATGCAACAGCATTGTCGAGCTTGTGTACACCCCACTTTGGGAAATTAGGAGAGGTAGACAAGCCACAACCTAACAGGTTGAAATATTTATTTGCTTACTGTCTATGAGTGTGGTTCTCAGCATGTATAGTAAGTTATACCTATTTTGCATAACTTTAATCTTTTTTTCAAAATGAGAAAAATGCAACTGTAATTCTGTAGAGGCTGATGTATGAGGGTCATGTTGGAATGGTGGTCGTGGGGGGTGTGTTGGAATGACAGTTATGGTCTTTCTTGTTTTGTTGGCATTTTATGTTCATTCCCCAGGATAGATTTCGAAGCAAATGACTGTCTACAGGTCTGAACATATTTAATACTCTACAAAACTAATTTTCAGAGTGATTTTATTAGCTATAATGAGTATCTGAGAATATTCTTCCTACAGCTCTTGTGAAAAATTGCTCATCATTAAAAAAAGTCCTGTTAATTTAAATGGGGAAATACGGTGACTTGCTTTAATTTAATTTTATTTTTTGAGAATCATTTTATTACTGGAAACATTTCTCTTTTACTTTTTTGTGCTTTTTAGAAATATAAATTTCTTTTTGTTATCATAGAGCATAAAATAATTATTAAACCACTTTTTTCCCTCTGAATGTTTTCTCTATGAAAGTAGTGAAGAGTGGGCATTATGGCTGAGAAGGTGAAAGTGCTTACTGCCAAATCCCATGACCTAAGTTCAGTCCCTGGAATCCACATGGTAGAAGGAGTAAACTGATTCCTGAAAATTGTCCTCTGACCATCACACCTGCAGTGTGGAATAAGCACACATGCACATGCACATGCACGCGTACACACACACACACACACACACACACACACACACACACACACACAGGATGTAAAAATTTTTTTTTAAAGAAAGTAGTCAAGATGGTGTATGAGACTTTTGTAGCTCTTGTGTTTATTTTTGTTTATGCTTTAATAATACATTAGTTAAGTTTTCTCTAATCTTAAAGACATTATTATATACTCAGTAATAATTTGAACAGGGTTGTTACTGCTTTTATCTAATAGTTATTCTTGTTTATTTTGTGTTTTCAAAATCTTATAATAAATGTACTTATAGCAATAACATTGCAGTTTTAAAGGTAATTAAAAATAATTACAAATGGTAAATGTTGTAACTGAGTACTTATAATTGTTCTTAAATAACCTTCCTGTGGAAAATGGACTTTTTCCTAACATAAGTCCATAGTATAGGAGCTAGGAATTAGGAGAACACAATAGCAGCAGAACTGAAATGCACTGAACTAGAGTGGTCACTGCATTCACACAGCTAGTTAAAACTGGCTCTGGAACTAGAGCCCAGATCTGATTCTTGTCAAGTTCCTTTCTATTCAGCAACTCCTTACTTCAGTTAGTCACATAAATATTAGCATTGAGATAAAACTGCAAGTTGAAAGCATCCCTAATCTAAAAATTCCAAATCCCAGTGGCCCCAAATCCAAAATCTTTTGAAGACTGGCTTTTTTTTTCCTGGTATGTAAATTCTTTTTGAGATTAGAGATCTCCTTTTACAGAATTTAGTGTATAACAGATTCAAATACCAAACTTCTTGATTTCCTAATATTAAACAAGTAAATGTGCAAAAGAACTACCATTAACAACACATCAAAAGCTATACATTTCCTATGAAACAATATGTGCACAGATTTTCAAAGCTGTGAAAATGCAATAAAGAACACAACACATTTTGGTCACTTTATTAAATGACATTAAATAGTTTAAGTTCCAACTACTAAACAGCACTTTGAATGGTGAAAACACAGCTAGTATACTGTCATACTTGAATGCTTTTCTTTAAAAACACAATTCCAGTCCTTATGTATATTACAAAACAGCCCTAGAGGAAGAAATGACATCTTTTCTACAGTACTTAAGATACTCAATATAGAACTGAATGGCAGTCTAGCAGAAACAAAGGCAAGTCTTCACAGCTGTATGATTTCAGCAGCCAAAGCTGAATGATGGACTGAAACATTACTATACAACTGGGATGAAACATATACAATATCACGATGGTAAGCAAAAACGCTTTACACCCAAAGAAATGAAACAGGTTATAAAATGTGGAGAATTTAGCAGGCAAAACTGTATTACAAGCAACATTTTAAAACATCATTTTAAGCCATTGCAACTATTTAAAACATCTAAAACAAATACAAAAATGAGCTTTTTAGCATCTTATTGATGTGATTTTTGTCTTTAAATATTTGTTGAAACTTGATGTTATACTCAAAGTACATATTATGCAGCCTGTCAAGTGACAAAAGAATGCAAATCCAACATTTTTTGAAAACTGACTTTTAAAAGTTTCAGATTTTAGAGCATTTGGGATTTGGGATCTTTGGATCTGTGATGGTACACACCTGTAAGCTCAGCAGAGTTTGGGAGGCAGAGGCGGGAAGATTGAGACAGCCTGGTCTTCACAGTGTGTTCCAGTCAACCAAGGCTACATAGCAAGACCATGTCTCAAAAAGCAAAGCAGAACAAAACCAAACAAAACTGGATTAGGGCTGCTCAACCAGGCAGGTTTGTTCCAGAAAGCAAAATAATCTAAAATGTGGAGCCCTTCTGATTCAAGATTTTTGATGAGGGATATTCAACCTGGATTAGTTTAAGCATGATGCTTTCATTTGTAGGTGACTGGACACTAGATTATCTAGTTGGCAACAGCTGCTAGAGGTTTTACACAATAAGAAAGATGGAGAGGCTAGTGAAGGTGGGCAGGGCTCGTCTGGAAAGGCCATGTCAGGAACTTACCTTTGACATGGGCCAAGGTGGTTAGTGACCCCAATATCAATGAGTATGGGCTCACATACTGTATTTACCCTCATTGCTCATAGGAAAGGTCATAGTTTGCCTTTCTATCTAGATTTTCAAAAGAAAAACTAGAAATCTTCTTTTAAAAGGAGAATGCACTTTAAATAAACTGTAGTCCAGAACTCTGAGAGATGATTGGAAGGGGAAAGTCGGGTAAGAGGGCAATGTATGCATATGAGCAGAAACTTCTAGATTCCTGAGGCTTCCTGTCCAGAACTGTGTGTCTGTTCCTTTTCCTACCCTCAGTAGCCTGCCACAACACTGCTTATAACTGTTGATGCTGAGTGCTGATTTGAAATTTCCTAGCAACCTGTTAATAAACTACTTCTTAAATTGGGGACTAATCATGAGGTAAGATGGGAAGACCGTCTAAAGGAAAAGAAGAAAGGTTAAGTGGCTTGGGACATTTATGAACAGATTATTTAGACTCTGTTAAATACCTTCTTTTTCCTAGGGAGTTTGTGTGTGTGTTATAGCCCGAAGTCTGACTCTTGGGAACAAATCACATATTCAGTGTTTTATCTACATAAAGGTACTTTTAATTTTATTCCTTTTTATTTTTATACTTAGATTTCTCCAAATAGTAGCAAATTAAGTTGTAAACACCTTATGACCTAGGAATTTTTATGAGTATATTTCTACAACTGCATAGTTTTATACTTTTATGGAGAAATTCACTAATGGTAAATGTTAAGCTAGGTAACTCATGTACTACATTTTTTAAATATCCTGTCCCATTATCTTTTATTTTATTTTATTTTATTTATTGTTTTTATTTTATGTGTATGAGTGTATTGTCTGCATGTATGTGAGTGCGCCTGTGTCATGCAATGCCGCAGAGGTCAGAAGAGGGCTTCGGATTTCCCTGGAATTGGAGTTAAGGATGGTTCGTAGTCACCATGTGGGAGCTGGGAATCAAACCAAGGTCCTCTGCAAGAGCAGTCAGTGCTCTTAACCGCCGAGCCATCTCTCCAGCCCCACCCATTATCTTTTTTTATAGACTATGGACCAATTCTAATGGATGTATTTGCCAAAGTATGTTAATTAGTTTGCTAATTTTTAGTTATTACTAATCAGGAAATTATAGCTGAACTTCACACAGTTACACAGGATTTTAATTAAAGTCTTCTGTGATCTCTGACGTAAGCAGGCTGTTGTTCCAGTAATGCTGTGCCCTTAGACTAAGATACTTTTTTCACTTCACATTTCTATAGTCCGAGATACATAACAGGCTGGGGATCCTTTGCCAGTTTTGTGGTGGCAGCTTACCCTGCCATAGTTTTAGTTTGAATCATGCTAAGGAGTATTTTCCTTGTGTGTTTAATTCCTCAAAACTTACATTTGTAGAGTACATACTGTGAATGTGGCTAAAAAAATTTAAAGGTAGAATTTCTGTTCCAATGTCTAACAAAAATTTTATGCCAAGCCACAGGAACGTTTCTAATCCTGCAGGAGTGCCTAGTGTCAGCTAGGTATTAGAGGTTAAGGCAGAAGAGTTTAGGAATTTTATAATAGAGCAAGTAAAAGTAATATTAGAACTAGACATAGATATGTACTTAAATAGTATATATAGGATTGCACAGCACGTTTTCACACATTTCTAATAATTAATGCAATGATGTAAACCAGCACAAAAAACTTCTCTGAAAACTGAGTTGAAAAATAGAGTGAAGTCCCACACAGAGTTTAGTAGGCAGCCGAAACCCTTTTCTGTGAGTTGGAAGAGTCTTAGAGGAGTGTTAAACCGTATCATGTAGAAATGAGCCTTGCAGCCTCCTCTATCGTAGATGATTGAGTAGACCCCTTTGCATTGTTCTCTCCCTGCACAATCCATCTCTTAACGTGAGGGTTTATGCCTGATCTGATAACAGTAGTTCCACTGTGGCTGCCCTCTGCAGGGGCTTTGGGAGAGTGAGGGTGTCATGAAATCTAGAAACCCGCAGATGGTCGCCCTGTCAGTGTTGCTGATAGTTGATATTGTTATGTGGCGTCATCTCCAGGAGTACAGTTCTAAACTTTTGTTTCTTAACTTTCTTTCTCTGGCTTCCTGTTTTCCCTCTGCAGGATACAGCAAGACCTTCACTGCTGCTCTTAGGAGTGCTGACTCATGTGTGACCAAAGGCATCACTTTTCTCAACATTGGTGGGTGATGGACATAAGAACCTCTCTACTATCAATGTTCTTCCAGTATATTCTCTGCCTCAGTGTTCTCACTCTCATTTTCTTCTCTGTAGCCTCATTTTCTGATGCTTCTGAGCTGTGCCTTGTCTGGTGGGAGAAGGTTTTCTCTGGAACACACCTGTCCCACTGAACCCATTAGCTTTTGGGTTTGAAGTGTGTCTTCCCTTTTTAGAGAACCTAGACTGTGACCTTTCTTATATTTTTGACAGCAGCCTTTAAAAGGCCATTTGCTAGTATACAAATGGCCGTAAGTAAGATGTTCCCTAAGAGCCTTTGACAAGTAATACATACTGCTGACCCTGGATTCTAGAGGGAGAAAGGCTTTGAGCAGCTGTCTGTTCTCTCTTGCTAATCATAAAAAGAGTACAAAAGCCCCATTAATGATTTATGAACCAGTGTGAGTTGTTTTCACTAAATAAATATGGTGAGGGGAAACAGTATCAGACATGAGCCATTAAGGGAGTCTATAATGAAGAGAGTGAAGGAGGGTTTACTCTATCTCCCTACTGAAAGCAGCTTTCCCAGGCCAACTGGGATGCAGGGCACAAAGAGTTTAAGCATTAAGAACTGACTGATAACAGAGCTGAGACTTGGGTACATACAGGGCGTGGCACATTTAAAGAGGGAAAGCTTCAGGTTTACTGCATATAATTCTCTGATATATTTTCCCGTCCTTGTCCCCCAGTCCATCTGCTGTTATGACAAACATTAAGGAAAGTGAATAGTCAGGGAACTGGGAGAGGTAAGAACCAAAAATAAGCTCAAACATATTTTTATTTTGATTTACTTATTTTTATTATTTTTTATGTGTATGAGTGTTTTGCCTGCATGTATATTAATTGTCCACATGTCATGCAATGTCCACAGAGGCCAGGAGAGGGCGTTAGATGTCCTGAGACTGAAGTAATGGACGGGTGTTAGCCGCCATGTGGGTGCTGGAAACCGAACCTGGGTTTTCTGTAAGAGCAGCCAGTATTCTTAACTGCTGAGCCGTCTTTCCAGCCCCAAAGATTTTTATTTTGAGTAATACTATTGGTGAGTTAAATATTCTTTGCTAAGTGGGCCAGTACATGGCACATATTAACATGACTTTGGAATCTGTGGGAAATGGCTTTGAGAGCTTCAGTCTACTGCTTTCTGTGATAAGGGAGAGAAACAGAAGGTTTCCTGGGTCTGGGACATGATTCTTATCAGCAGTGCTGCATCAGCATCCCATCTAAACAGTGATGTGGGAAACTTACCACTAAACACGCTGAGCACTTTGCAAGGGCAAAGGTATCTTCCTTTTCTTCCCCTGGGAATAACTTGAAAAGGGCAGCATGATTTAATCTGTAGTCTTGCAGAAGGCAGAAATACTAGAGCTGGTAAAAATAGGCTATCTCACACAGTTGTCTTTCCTTCTTAAGTACAGCTTATTCATAGGTACAAAATTGGATCCAAGATTTGAACTGTTCTAGAGGGGATTTTTATGACAGCACTATTAGTTTTTTGAGTGATATGTTTTGCTATTAATTGTTTATAATTTCCCTTTATTGTTATCCTGATAAAAAGGGCTTATATTGATTGAAATATATAGTTTACTTTTTTCCAATGAGTCTCACGGACAGATGTTGCATTACTTTTTCCGGGGAGACACAGAAATGCCTGTTCACCTCAGGTAGGGCAATGACAGAGCAAAGAAATAATTCCATTAGAGTCCAGCTTGGTGAACCAATGCATTTACTGGCATTACATACAGGAACATGGGTAGCCTCTCCCCTTCCCTCCAGGAGACAATGTGTCAGTCTATTGGAAATAGCTATAGAATACTTATATAAGCAAGACATGCTTATGGATAAACACCACTATTTAATAAATATTGTATGTAAAACACTTAGGTCATGCTGATCCTTGGAACAGTCTGCTTGGCGATATTAGCCCCATTCCACAAACAGTGAAGCTGAAGCTGAGAAGGGGTTAGGTCTGTGCCCAAGCTTCTTCCAGTGTCTCTCTTGAGGGATTCTGTCAGTTTCTCATTGCTGTGTAATGAATGATCACAAGTTTAGGCTTAAAACACATGCTGGAGTTCAGAAGTGGGTAAGGAGCACTGAGAAGCTAAAATTAAGATGTGGGCGAGACTGGTTCCTGCTAGAGGGTCTGAGGAAGAATTTGCTCCTTGCCTCCTCTGGCATCTAGGGCCTAGATTTCCTTGGCTTCTGGTTTCATTTTAGTTGCTTTGTCACTTTGTGGTCCTCTCCTACAGGCAAGTTCCCCTCTGCCTTCCTCTCTTATAAAGACTGATCATATTGGGTCTACCTGGACAATCTAGAATGTTCTCCCCAGCTCAAGATCCCAACTATATCTGCAATTATATCTGTTCCATTCATCAAAAAGTTAACATAAGACAGGAGAGATGGCTCAGTGGGTAAGGACTCTTGTTGCCAAGCCTGACAACCTAAATTCAATCCTTAGGTTGGAAGACTTCTGAAAGTTATCCTCTGACCTCCACAAGCATACTCCTCTCACCACACAAACACACATATACATTATATATGATAATAATGTATAAAATAATATATATATATATTTTTTGGTCTTTTTGAGACAGAATCTCCTGTAGTCCCAGCTGGCCTGGAACTATATAGACCAGGCTGGCCTTGAACTCACAGAGATCTGCCTGCCTTTGCCTCCCTAGTGCTAGGATTAAAGGTGTGCGCCACTACTCCCGGCTTATAAGCTCTGTCTTAATAAAAGAAAAAGACCCATTATATGAAGTTAGCGTAGTCTCAGGCTCTGGAAGTTAGCACATGAGTATTTTCAGGGTCCATCATCCATCCTGCCACAGGCACTACTGAAATTTGGAATAACACAGTCATTTTTTGTGGCTGCCTGCACACTGAGGAACTGAATACTCCTATAGCTCATTCAACCAAATGATTGTGACAACCCAGAATACCCTCCTGTATTTCCAAATGTCTCCTTTCCAGGGACATATTACCACTATGATTCACTAGTTACATGGTTGAGGTAAGAGTTAGCCTAGGTCATTTGATGTCCATACCCTTTCTAGTATGCCCCTCCAGATAATTTATTTTCTACTGAAGTATTTCCATCTTAATAAGACTATTGAAATCAATGTATTATGTACTTATATTATTTAACATTGTTTAGTCCATGTCTTCTGGAGGGACACTTTAACTGGTTAGAACTTTATGTTCTATTTCTTTTAAAAAATATTTTATTTATTATTTTTATTTTCTGTGTATGAGTGCATTGCCTGTATGCAGGTAGGTGCACCCATGTCATGCAAAGCTGGCAGAGGCCAGAAGAGGGTGTCGTATCCCCTGGAATTGGAGTTACAGACAGTTGTTAGCTTCCAAGTAGGTGCTGGGAATTGAAACTGCATCCTCTGGAAGAATAGCAAGTCTTCTTAACCAGAGTCATCTTTCCAGCCTCCATGTCCTCTTTCTTAATCCACAGAATACATTCTATGCCAACGATTAGCATGTGTTTCTTTGCTTCTTAGAGAAAGAGCCTAGCTAGCTCAGTTGAAATTGAAATTTCCTTCACCTGTGGATTTCTGTGTTTTTTTCTAAGATCCTAGAAAAATGATTACTTATGGCTACCACCACCCTCCCAGTCTGTGGAAATGCATTTAAAAATATTTTATTTATTATTTTTTATTTTATGTGTATGAGTTTATCACCTGCATGTATGTAAATGCACCTGTGTCATGAAAGGCCCCGCAGAGATCAGAAAAGGGCATTGAATTCCCCTGGAACTGGAGTTATGGATGGTTAGCTGCCATGTGGGCACTGAGAATTGAACCCAGGTCCTCTGAAAGAGCAGCCAGTGCTCTTAATTGCCAAGCTATCCCTCCAGTCCTTGGAAATCTATTTTTATACTGTGTCTCAAATAGATTTGTACTCTCTTGGATACAAATGTTCTGGTTATGCAAATATCTAGTGGAGGGACTGTGAAGGTGTGAATTCTAGGTAGTCAGCTATGTAAGGAGATAAATTAATAAGCCATACAATGTCAAACTGCCTGTAGAAATGCTCTTGATGAATATAAATTTAAAATTCTTCTAAACAAAATGATGATGATGATTATGATGATGATGATGATGATGAATGGGCCAATATGGGAAAATTTTACAAACCATCAGAAACCATGAAGATAATTCCCTCATAGGCTATTCCCAGCCTATCACATTAACGATTCTGTTGTGTAGCTTGACATTTTGATTCTATTTTCCTCTCATAACACTTAGATTCACAGAAAGCTATAACTGACTTAGAAGCAAAACCCTACTCATAAGCTAATATAACCATGGCTAAATGTGTGAGGAGACTGAGTCACAGGTGCAAACCAGGGAGACCTGACTGAAGGTGACGGGCACTGCCATCAATCAGACTCCTTGTTATTGGTAAAACAAAAAACTGGTGTTTTAAAAAATATATTATTTATTTATTTATTTTTTAATTTTATGGGTATGCGTGTATTGCCTGCATGTAGGTAAGTGCACCCGTGTCATGCAATGCCTGTGGAGGTTAGAAGAGGCTGTTGGATCCCCCGGGACTGGAGTTACAGACAGTTGTTAGCTGTCATGTGGGTGCTGGAATTCTATCCCGGGTCTTCTGCAAGAACAACCAGTGTTCTTAACTTCTGAGCCATCTCTCCAGCCTCCCCACTCCCCCACAAAACTGGTGTTTTAAGAAGTTCAAAGAAAAATGAATTATGTGTAGTTCTGGAATTTATCTGAACCTGTTTAGATTTCCCCACATGTAGATGACTCAAGTCTTTATCTTCTACAGGCTATTATGTGGCTGTTTACTTACCTGGTCATTTCCTTCATCTACTGAACATTCAACACCCAGACTTGATCTGCCATAGTCTGTTTCTGACAGGTATGGCTACAGTCCTAGTTTTTCTCTCATGCACATGGCCTCCTTAGGCTTACTTTGATTTTTAATAACTATGTTTGGGCAAGAAGTTATTTTATTTGCTGATATGCTTTTTTATTTTTTGTTTGCCAGGAAACAACAAAATGATCAATATACTTCCTCATCACCCTTTACAGTCACTGACAGGGTCCCTGATATTGGATCGCTGTTCTGGAAAGCTCTATAAAGCATTCCTTAACCAGTCAGATCTGATGTGGTTCCTATGGAACTCCAGCCTCGACTGTGAGAAGATGGCTGCATTGCACTGTGTGCTCTCATGTGGTCGAGACCCTGGTTTCCTGGAAGGCCAGGTGAGAAATAGCTCATGTTTGAACATCTGCAACAGACAACACCAAATACATTTATTTGGTGGTTGAAAATGATTAGAAGCTGTTTTTGCTTGGTAACAGTTCAATGAAGATTATGGCTTGACTCAAATGTATTCTCCTTTGTGCTTTGTTGTGGCTCTCTACCACACCTCAGCCTGTGAAGTTGCAATGATCTTTTGAACACAGCAGTCCCCCTTTATCAATGGTTTCACTTTCTGTGATTTAAGTTAACTGAGATCAACTCTGGTTTATTAAATGGCAAATTCCACAAAAGAAACAATTTACAAGTTTTAAATGACATGGGGTTCCAATCAGTGTGATGAAATCTTGTGCCATCCTGCTCCATTTGGCCTGGGGTTATGAATCATCACTTTCTCCATTGTATCCATACTGTATTTGCTACCTGCCCAGTCATCATTTGGCAGTTGTCATGGTTATCAGGTCAACTTTTATAGTACCACAGTGCTTGTGTTTATGTACTCATATTTTACCTAATAATGGCCACGATGTTAGGATATGCCAAAGAGAATCCCTAAAGTTTTTCCATTAAGTAAAAAGCTCAAAGTTCTTGACTTAACGAGAAAAAAATTTATGTTACTGTTGCTGAGGCTTGGTACTATTTGTGTTTTCAGCATGCACAGGGGTCTTGAAATGTACCTCCTAAAGATAAGGGACAACTACTGTATTCTTTTTTCTTTCTTTTTGTGTTTTTTGTTCATTTTGTTTTTTGAGACATCATTTCATTCTGTAGCCCAGGATGACCTAGAACTCACTATGTAGCTCAAGGTGGCCTCACCTTTGTGGCAGTTTTCCTGCTTAGTCTCCAAAGTGCTGGGATTACAGGTGTGAGTCCCCACACCCAGCATTGTATTATCTTTTCAATACTATAAATAAAGGTTTAGTTGTGTCAGTAACATTCCAAAGAAGTACTCACTAAACACTGAGTTTCTCAGATTGCCTGCTTTTTTCTCCTTGAGTATATTTGCTATAAATATATTATCAAAAGGACCCAGAAAGCCAGGTGTAGTGGCTCACACATGTAACCCCAGCACCGGAGAAGCTAAAATCAGGATTGCTGCAAATTCAAGATCAGCCTGGGCTATATAGTAAGTTTGATGCTATCCTGCTTACAGAATGAGATCCTATTACTATCTTCTCAGAACAAGCAAAAAAGGACTAAGATCTTGTGGTAAATGTTTATTAATTTCTTTGGATGCTAAGTATGTGTATATTGCCTGCATGTAGGTAAGTGCACCTGTGTCGTGCAGTGCTGGTGGAGAACAGAAGAAACTGTCAGATTCCCTGGAACTGGAATTACAGACAGTTGTTAGCTGCCATGTGGATGCTGGGATTCAAACCTGGGTCTTCTACAAGAACAGTCAGTGCTCTTAACCACTGAGCCAATTCTCCAGCCCCTGAATTTTTATTGAATTTTTTTCAATTTTCATACAATATAGTGTGATGGTATTCAGATCCCTTCCCCTTCCCTCCCCATACCTCCCCCACACTGCCTCCTGCCCAATTTAATGTACTTTCATATATATATGGCCTATAGAGACTGATTTGTGTCCCTAAATGCCCCACAGTGTGGGTCCATCCACTGGGCCCACCAAGAGTCCCATTACTGTTAGACACCATCTTTCCCCCCTCCCAGCAGTCATCAATTACCAAATGTTCCTTAGGCTGGGTTGGGTTATCCACTTCCCCATATCTGAGCTACAGTTTTGTCTGGTTTGAGCTTGCATAGAACTTGTGCATGCTGTCACCATTGCTGTGAGTTCATATGAGTAACTGATCAGCTGTCTGGAAAACTCTGTTTCCTTATGGTCATCCACCTCCTCTGATTCTTATAATCATTCCACCTCCTCTTCCACAATGATCCCTGAGCCTTGGGAGGTAGAAGTTTGATACAGGTGTCCTATTCAGGGATAAGCACTCTGAGGCCTCTTGCTTTCTGCACATTGGCCAGTTGTCAGTTTCTATGTTAATCACCACCTGCTGCATAAGGAAATGTCTCGGTGAGAGCTGAGAGATGCATTCATCCTATGTGTAGGTATTGCATTGAAGATGTGTCACTTAGGGTTATGTATCTCACAGTTCTCTGTGTTTGACCAGTTCTAGAACTCTGCAATAGTCTCCATCTATTGCAAAGAGAAGCTTCTTTGATGAGCAAATATTTATTGCATTTTTAATGAAGACAGTTTACATTTGAACTTTACATTGTAGCTTATATTTGAGCTGTACATTGTAGCTTACGTTTGAGCTGTACATTGTAGCTTACATTTGAGGTGTGCATTGTAGCTTCCATTTGAGGTGTACATTATAACTTAAATTTGAGGTGTGCATTGTAGCTTATTGACCTATTCTGTCATTTTACTTTTTGCACCTATCCTACAAAGTCTGAAAGACCTCTTATCAGTGATGGCTAGAGTCAGTGTCTGATTGGCTAATTGAAAAAAAAAAACAGACATTTTATTTTAACCTAAAACATAATACTGCACATTTCTCTGCTTATCTTTTGATGTAGACTAAGGCCCTTTCTTTATGAATCAGCTAATTAAAGTTTAAAGTTGTTTTCTTCCATAAAACTCCTACTACTGTCTGCTTCTAAGGTTTCCATTACAGATGCAAGAAGAAAGTTTCCTCGTGCTTTCTCTCGGTGGCAGCCAAGATTGAATAGGGGAACACAGAGAAATGAAAACAAAGACAAAATCCCCAACCAACCAAACAAAATCTATTAATGTGTTATCTCCAACTTCCTGTTCCTTTCTAAAAAGTTCATGTGTGAGTGTATGTGTGAATGGATTCACATGTGTGTTCATGTGTGTACATTCGCTTATGTGTGGAAGGCCAGAAGTCAGTGTTGGGTATCTTCCTCAGTTGCTCTTTTATTTATTTATTTATTTATTTTTTGAGACAGTATCTCCTTGTGGCCCAGGCTAGCCTAGAACTCACTATGTAGACCAGACTGGTCTTGATCTCATAGAAATCCACCTGCCTCTGCCTTTGCCTCCAGAGTGCTGGGATTAAAGGTGTGCACCACAATATCCAGACCTTATTTTTGAGCCCGGATCTCTTACTGAACCCAGAGCTCACCTTTTCTGCTTGACTGGCTAGCCAATGGGCCCTCAGGATTAGCCAGCTTGGTCTATATCGTGAGTTCTAGGCCAGCTGAGGCTACAGAGAGACCCTTTCTCAAAAAAAAAAAAAAAGATAACCGAATAAGACACCCAATGTTGACTTCTAGCCTTCCACACACAAACACACATGTGAACACGTACTGGGGTTGCAGATGTGTGCTGTACCTTACTTTCTATATGGGTTCTAGGGATCTGAACTCAGATCTTCATGCTTGTGTGCCAAGTACTTTAGCCACTGATCACTGAGCTCTCTCCCTAGCCCCTGAAAACTTTTATTTCTAAGGGGATAGTTTAAAGACATTTTCAAAGTAATCTGTGTATATTAGGCATTTAAAAATCTAACCTTTTAGATTTGTTTTATCTATATCTACTCTTTTAGCCTTTTAGAAATGTGCTTTTGTCTTTCCAGAAGAGCCAAGATTTCTTGATCCAACAATACTCTGCATCTGTATTCACTTGTATATAGGGATTTGTATTACATCGCCTCAGTAAAAATAAGTATAACTGCAACAATTGATTTAGGAAAGCATTTTATTAAGAGTGAGCTATGGTGGGGCAGGCTTGACCTACCTTCAATGCTCAAGCAGGAAACAGAAGCTTCCCTCTTCCAGCAGCCCAGGCTAGAGATGGAGAGTGAAAGAATTGCTGATGGAACAGGGCTTATCCCTCCCTCCAAAGGGAAGTCCAGTGCAGTAGCACTCTTCATGGTTAAGTGGTGTAGCAATGTTCAGACTGATAGCTGCCCTGGGCTTTAAACTCAGAATGCTGCCCCAAGCCTAGAGGTTTTGTTAGGCATTGTGCTGTGCCACAGAGCTCTCTCCAGGGGTGCTTTGCAATACCTTGATCTATTCTTGCAAAAGCAAACATATATTGGGTTGAAGAAGGTTTGTTTGGATTCCATCCAGGGACTTTGTTAAAAAGATATGTAAAAAAGCACTTTATTTGCAATACTGTCTTAACTCAGCCAGAACTATATTGCTTTTTTGAAGACAGAAGTATATTCTCAGGCCATTCTAAAATAGATGTAGAATTAAAAAGATTCATTTATGTATATATGTTTACATATTATTACATTATATATAATATATTTTTGTCCTATATATAAAATATATATTTTGTCCTTTGGTGGGATGGAGTGCAGACTTAAATTCTAACAGAATGCTATGGTATTATTTTTTAAAGATTATTCAATGGATTTCTGAGCATGTCTCTACCTGTCATTCATTTGACCTCATTCAGGAATTTCTAATTGGTAAGTGTTGCTGATGTTGCACCTTAAGCTGAATGTTTGACCCTTTTGCTTGAGGGAAATCAGTAAGTTGATAATGAATGCCTCTGTCAAAATGCTGCTTAGAAATACTTTAAAAAATCTCTATTGTAGTCAGCAGCTAATCAAGTTTCATTCTCTTGTGGTTTTGTGAGACGCTGTGGTTTTCATAGACTGATGAGCTTTAAGATAGGATTCTGATTCTGTAATGGTATTAGTATTTTTTTTTTCAGTAAAATGTCTTTTTCTTTAGCCTAGTTTTATGTTTCTTGGCTCTGAATAAGTGGTGTAATGCCATCTGGTTAGAAGCAGTTTTTTTTTTTTTTTTTAATTATTCTCATTGTAAAAAGAAGAACCTGAACATTTTAGGCAATAGATAAAATCATAATGGTTAACCTTCAGAGGATGAAGGATAGGTGATGAAAACTTTTATTGGTTTGCTTAATTTGGTTAAATTTCAGTGCTGACTCCTCTATTCTATTAAATCCTGTTTCTTTTTCTGTTCAGCTTCTTCATATTGGAGTATATACCCAGAGTCGAGCAACATAGACACACTCCTGCCGTACTCCTCAGTGCTCACTTGGAATACAGTAAGTTAGCACTTTGTGTTCTGTATGAAGTTAAAATGGGTTCACCATTGTGGGTCAGTGGTGGAACATTCCTGTTATGGTAACCAAAGCTATAATTTCACTTCTGTTTTGACTGATAAGGATCTGAGTTGAAATTTCACAATGGCAAGTATGAACATCCCCAGTCCAAAAATCTAAAATCTAAATCCTGCAAAATCTGAATATTTTGAGGGCCAATGTGATGATACAAGTGAAAATTTTCATACCTCATGTGGCAAATCAGTCAAAACACAGAAAATGCATATAAAAAACTATGTGGCCTGACATACAGATGCAAAAAGAGCACTGCTGGATCAGTAAGAGTTGGATGTTTTTGGAAAGACTCAAAGACACGTATCTAGAAGATTATATATATATATATATATACACACATATATGAAATATATGTCTGAAAGACAAATGAATTTTATGTTTCAATTTCAGTCCTGTCCCTAAGAGACTTCATGTATATCAAGAATTTCAAAATCTAAAATAAAGAAATCCCAAATTGGAAGCATTTCTCATCTCAAGCACCTTGGACGAGCAATGTTCAACCCGTGGTGTATCTCCTCCACATTTACACAAAAGGATAGTGTTGATGGAGCAGATGCAGGGCATTTGCCACTCTACTGCTGGGAAAACCTAATCCTCTTTCATGGCTTTTTATAAAATGATGTTTTCACACCTGTATTGACTGAAGTGAATTAAAGTATTGAGTAGGTTTTTAAAAATGAGTGGCTGAATCACTGTGGTTATACTTGGATGATTAGGACCCTTATGACTCCTTCTTTATTTTATAAAGTTTTATAAAGAAAATTTGATAACAAGAGGGTCAAGAGGAATAAAAGCCAGCAATCTTAAACATGCTCCCTCTATCAGCCTGTTTTTCCTGTCGGTCTGGAATCCTTCCTTTAAATTAGGAAATAGTGGGCTCGGGTACTGCACGTTTCCTCTTCAGTGTAAGTGCAGCACATTTAGATGGTGGAACAGCATCGTGGTCTTGAGATCTTTGTATCAAAAAGGTTTTTAGAACAATGGATTTAATTTAGGTAACAGATATAGGAGAATATGTACTAGGGTATATTGTGACACTTTCATTTCATATTCAGTCTATGCCTAAATATATTCAGTATAGACATGTAAAGGTCCAGATATGGTAGTATGTGCTTTGTAATCCTACACTCATGAGGCCAAATATCTTGAGTTGGAGGTTAGCTTGGGTTATATAATAGTGAAACCCTGTCTAAAACAAACAAAATAAATAAATAAAAAGACATATCCAAATGTGTTTAATTTCTGTAAAATTTTTATTTTTTGGCTTGTTTTTGTTTCGAGACACAGGATATTCAGCCTGGGCTAGCCTGCCTCAAACTTACTATGTTGCTGAGGACAACCTTAAATTCTTGATCCTCCTGCCTCTACCTCTTTAATACTGAGATTACAGGCACATGCCACCATGCCCAGCTATGCTTGATTAACTTCCAAATTTTTGATATACACAATAGTAGTGTTTTCTGGAAGGCCTTTTCTGCTTGTCTCTTTCATTTATAGTCAATAATTGAGTTCCATGATTCAGTCTAGAATTGTAAGGGAAAGACCTGGGCTTGTACCTTCTCTAGGCACCCACGTTGTTTTTCTTTTAGGACACTTAATGAATATACGGCAGACTCTGTGGTTATGCGCAGGAAGTCTACAGGTTACAGCACCCTGGGGTCAGGAAATGGCACATCTCTGCTCTTTTTCACGTTAATCAACCTAATCTAGAACTTGTCACCCAGTGTTCTTTTGCCTTGTGTTTAAAATGTGGAGGAGGTGGGGCTGTGACCACCTATGCCAGGGCTGTGTTCTTTTAGTCAGATGTTATGTGAAACAGCCATTTGTTTGTTCATTTGTCAAGACTCTTGGGGCACACAAGCTTTTGTGACAATACACACAATGACATCAGGAAGTTCCACTTAAACAATATAAAGAAACCCACAGTTATAACCTCTGTGCACCAGGCTTAGCTTGGGGTTTACCATGTCTCTTTAAAATTTCTTGTGGTTGGAGTAAATTACCTTAGAGGCCTCTTCTAATCCTGAAGTTCTTTGAGTTTATACTTATCTTTAGCAATGATGTAAGTCATCTACATTTCCTTTCTCTAATCTACAACTGTTCTTAATGCTACAACATTAATAAAAAGTTGCCATAATGGAAAATATCAATTTTCCAGTGGAGGCAATTGACTTGGATTTTGTCTGGTTTTGTGACAAGAAATTCACTATATAGCTCAGGCTAGCTTCCACAACTACCAGTAATTGGCTATTTTTGTTTGTTTTGAGACAGGGTCTCCCTGATGCCCTAGCTGGCCTGGAACTTGCTGTGAAGACTAGGTTGACCTTGATCTCACAGAGACCCCCGCTGGTGCCTCCTGAGTGCTGGGATTAAAGATGTGTGCTACCCACCCCAGTTAATTGGCTTTAAAAAAAAAGATATTAGAAATTAGGGCACTCTTACACATAGATAATTCTGAATTGTGCTTTGTAATTATAGTTATTTTTAAATGCTATCACTGTGCCCATTTAGAACCTACATTAATAATTTTCTTGTTGCTGTAATAAAATAATCCTACAAGAAGCGATTGAAGACAGGAAGGGTTTATTTTTGTGTTACAGTTTGAGGGGATATAGTCCGTCATGTGAAGAAAGCAGGGTGGCAGGAGTGGAGGGGGCTGTCAAGAAGCAGAGAGCAATAAATATTCTTGCTCAGCTAGATTTCTCCCTTTCATGCAATTTGGAGCCCAAGTCCAATGAGCTGGTGCCATTTACATGTGGGGCGGATTTTTCCACCTCAATCAACCTAATCTAGATAATCCCTTACAGACATGTGCAGAGGCTCAACTCTGATTCTAGATGCTGTTCAGTTGACAATATTAACTGTCATAGAACCTAAAACTGTAGTGCTGCCTTAATGTCCTTTTGAGGTGTCTCCGTTACTGAGTAGTGTTGAGTGAAGCATGCAGTAGGTTCTCAGTAGGTTCTGTCTTCCTATGGAGAACTCAGTAGCTCAGATGTTCTGAAAATTCACTCTTCCATCATAGATTATTTTTTCCCTCATAGGAACATTATGGGTCAATAAAATCCAGGTCATTTAAGTTCTAATCAAATACCAGTTTCTGTTTTTACAGAATACTTTCTGTTTTCTCATGCATCATCTATGTTTTGAAGAAAATCTGAATTGACCAGCTGAAAGGCTAAACGTAGAGTTAACTCAGAGGCACCTTTTTCACAGTAACAGCAAATTAAAAATTTTAGAAGTTTATCCTTTTGAACTTAAAAAGAAAAAAAAAAAATATAGGGTCTTACATAACCCAGGCTGGCCTTGAACACACTGTGAATCTGAGAATGACCTTGAACTCTTAACCCTCCTGCCTCCACCTCTCTGCCTCAGACTACAGACATGTATTACCACTCATTAAACATGTTTCAGTGCTCACTAGTTGGCAGAATGCATTTGTAGAGATTTCCTGGCATGAACGTGGAACTAGAGCAGAAACTGTTTCTGAGGAGCTCTTGTCCCTGAAATGAGGACAGACAATGAGGTACAAAATATTTTCCATTCAGTGTGTTCTACAACTGGCCACACACAGAGAATAAGTGTCTGTGAGATGCCCAAACCTAAGTGACACATCTACAATGGAATCTCTATACCTAAGGCCATGGAACATACTAGAACAAGGGATAGAGCGAATACTAATGCATCTCTCAACTCTCACCAGTGAAGTTCCCTCATGCAACAGAGGGCAATGAACACAGAAGGCCACAACTGGCCAAAGTAGAGAATAAGAGACTGCAGAGTATGTGTTCCTGGACAGGACTCCTATATTAAACCTCACCCACCCATAGCTTAGGGATCATTGTGGAAGAAAGAAGAAAGATTCTAAGAACCAGGGGTGGTACATGACCATAAGGAAACAGAGTCTTACAGGCTCCTGGGAACTTACTCATAGGAACTTACAGCAATTGTGACAGCATACATAAGACCCATGCAAACTCAATCGGATAAAACCCAGCATAGAACTGGGGAAATGGGCAGGAGGCCCCAACCTTAACCGAGGAACTATTGTCAGCTGATCACTGCTAGATGAGGGAGAGTTGCTAGATAGGCTGAACAGGCTCCAGAGTATGAATTCACATCGAGAGACAGCTGGGTACACAAACTTGACTCAATAGGCTTTAACATATAAGACAGAATGCATGAAATCTTGTGGATAGGCTATGAGGGGGTACAGATAGATAGGGGAGGTCTAAATATGATTAAAATGTATTCTATGAAATCCACAAAAATTCAATTAAAAATAGACATCAGAAAAAAAGTAACAAGAAATTTAAAAAACAATTTCATGCTGGGTGTGGTGGTGCATGCCTGCAATCCTGGGACCTGGGAGGCTTGAAGCAGGAGGATTATGAGTGCCAGGCTAGATTGGGTTCTATAGGGAGACCCCATCTCACTAAAACTAGTAAGTAAATTAATACGAAAAAAGAAAAAAATTCCATTCAGTATGTGAGAATCCCATTGAGCTTGGTTCCTCTGGAGAGGAATGGGCCAACCATAATGCATGTACATAAAGGAGACAAAGGGAAGAGGGTGCAGGCAATGGGATGATTCCCTGCACACCCACATTCGATGGTGCAAATATAATTTGCCTCATTTGTTCTTAAATAGAAATGTATAAAAATACAATATTTGCTCTGTAATTTCTCGTGATAATATTTTCTCTTCTTTAGAGAAACTGTCAGCTATTATTTAAAGACTATTTCCTTTCCCAGGGCAAGAGTCACACTGTGTCTACTGTTATTTATACACCATGAAATTTATTTAAGTGGAGATTAGCACACTGGAAGTTGTCCTTGACTTCTGTCTATACCAAAAACACTTCCTGAAGGCTTGGGCCTGTGGTGGTTGATATGTTGTGTGTATTTTTTTCCCCCACCATAGGAAATTCCTGGAATAACCCTTGTGACAGATGAGATCTCCTTGCCACTTATGAAGGTAAGTCAATTTCAAGGAGAGAGAAAAACAGTTATGCCTGAGGAAATCTCTGCTGTCCCCAGTACTGTGGTGGTTCTAGAAGGTATTGCAGCCTGGCAAAGGTGGATGAGGACCAGGGCAGCTGGGCTTCTTGGAGAATCCTTCCACAGTGGCTGAGTAAACACTGAGTATGATATTACAGCAATTCTTGGACTGCGTTTTGAAGATGGAATTTTGTGAAGATAGGAGAGAAATACAGAGCTCAACTCGAGCCATCCACTCTAATACTTGCAATAAGGCCTGAAAACAGTTCTTAGTGGAGGAGTTCTTGTAAATTATCTTTAGTGTACCTAGAAGCTGTTTTTACTTTGTCTGTAGTCCTGCCTTCAAATGTTCATAACACACACACACACACACACACACACACACACACACACACACACCTCTCAAGCTTTGTGTACCTCTATCCTGTGCACAAAGCTTCTCAGTGTCCTTCTGCAGTCCTCTGGTTTCAGAGTATAATGGGGAGGATGGGGTGGGGTGAGGTAAGTAGAAAAGAACAGGCATGTAGTTAAAACCTTGGGGGTCTTTAGTACAGTTTCCTTGAAGCTCCTTTGTTGCTTTTGGCATCGCCTCCTAGTAATTATAGCTTGTTGTAGCCTGGGAAATCTCAGCTCCTGGCAGTAGCAGGTCCGTGTGCTGAAGCCTTTTATTTACATTTGATGCTTTTGGATCCATAGGCCTGGGCAGCTGGGGGCAAGGCTGGGGCGTTTGAGGTCACAGTGGTGCACTGGGGTCAAGAGAGGACAGAAGGAAGCTGTCTTAGTGGTTCTAGCTTTTGGGCCTAAGAAGAGTCCCTTGAGGATAGACTGGCCAGCTGTCTCTAGGACCAAGTGCCAGGACACTGTGAAACCCTTCCGGTGTAGGAAGATGGAAGGAAAAGCCAGGTTCTCTTGAGGGTTAAAGGGTGTCTTCTTCATCTTTTAATTTCATTGTTTCTGTTTTTTTGTTGTTTACTTGGTGCACCCGTGTCATGCAGAGGCCAGAAGAGGGTGCCAATAACTAGTAATGGTTATTTCCACCAAATCCATAATGTGTTTAATTGACAAATAAGTGAAGAGCTTTCTTTCTTATTTTCTGCTTTGGTGCTGAGGAGTGAACTCAGATCTTGAGTACACTAGACAGGTGCTTTACCATTGTGCTGTACCCCCAGCCTCCTGAGTAGCTGGGATTTGGGATATGCACCACCATGCCTCACCAGGAGAACAATTTTAGAGGAAAGAAATACCATCCACAATTCTGCAGTTTCTAGAATAACTATTTGTCTAGAATAACTCTTTGTCACAGGTGTGCATAGTTTGCTTAGCAGTTATGATGGTCCAGAGAAATTTGATAAATATTTTGAATTCATAAAAAAATTTCATGTTGTTAAATAAACTAATGATTTCTAATGATTCTCTTGGATTGCCATGTCTGAATTTATTTGATCAGTCTTCTGGTTTTGGGAATTTAATTATCTCTGCATTTCCGAGGCTATGACTTAATGCTAAAGTGCTTATCTCCTCTCTCTCTCTCTCTCTCTCTCTCTCTCTCTCTCTCATACACACACACACACACACACACACACACACACACACACGCATTCTCTTCCTCCCTCCCCTCTCTCTGTATGTGAAGCCATGTGTTTCATACCCCCTATTTTCCCCTCCTTTGACATTTCTGTTTCTTCTCATTTTTTTCCTTCTCTCCTACAGTTACCTTTAAAAACTTTTTTTGTTGTTTATTTACTTTGTGCACCCGTGTCATGCAGTGTCTACAGAGGCCAGAAGAGGGTGTCAGATGCCCTGTAGCTGGAGTTATGGATTGAAGTTAGCTGCCATGTGGGTGCTGGGAACCAAAGCTGGGTTCTCTGAAAGAGCAGTCAATGTTCTGAACCACCGAGCCATCTCTCCAGGCCCTCCTGTCGTTACCTCTTAGCATGTGGTGTAGATAGTTGTTTCCCATTCCCAAGTCCCATGAGTGCTTAATAGTTTAGTGGTTGCACAAATCTCATATACTAGTAGCACTTGGGACAAGTCTGGTGAGCTCCAGACCTTGTTAGGACCCTGTCCATGAAGACATCATCTATGCAGAAGGCAAAGATGTACTTCTGGACAGGCCTTGAACTCAGGAGCTGCTACTGGCTTTGGTGTGACCAGCTCCCTCCACCCCCACCTCCATGGCTCAGCATGAGCCTCTAATTCTGGGTCATTCTGGGTCACAGGACAGCTGTCCCAAGCTTGCATTTCTTTCTCCAACTCTGCTTGCATTATGCCACTCACTATAAGCTACTGCCTTTGCCTTTGACCTACTTCTTCTACCCCAAGTCCCAGATTAATTATATTATGGTGGCCCTGCTTGCCGGGGGCACCTCCCATGTTCTACCCTGCTGTAGCTCCTGTCATGGGACTTTAGGAGTTACCTCTGAACACACGTGACCTGAACCACAGGTTACCTTGAGAATGGTGCTTGCTGCTGAACTCTGAGTTGAGGCCCCAGGGTCCTCTGTTTACTCTGACCACACTCATTTCCTCTCTCCTGGTAAAGAGTCAAGGGAGGGAGGGGCAAAGTGAAAAGAGAGATGTATTTTCCTCTTGCTCTTTCTGCAAACAATCCTGCATGGGGACATGGAGCACTTTATAAATGTTTAACATATTGCTATAGTCTGAGTGTTTGTTCAAATTTATATGTTGAAGTCCTGACCCCTAAGGTGATAGTCTTAGGAGGCGGCAAATTTGGAAGTGTGATTAGATCCAGAGACCTCGTGATTTGGATTGGTGTCATTTTTTTAAAAAAGACGGAGGAGATCTAACTCACTGTGTGGTAACATGTCACAGTGAAAACAAAGCTGTCTAAGAAATGGAAGAAACAGGCCCTAGTCAGACACTGGATTGACCCACAATTTGATTTTGGATATCCCAGTCTCAAGAACTGTGAGGAATAAATACTTGTCATTCATAAATCACTTAGTTGATGGTCTTTTGTCATAGCAGCTGAGTGGACTAAAGCATGGGGACATGCTGGGGCAGATAAATGTGTAGTGTTAGAAAGAGATTGTCATTTGAAAGATAAGACTTCCTCACTTCATATAAAGTTCACTAAATAATTTTCAAAATTCTATAAAAAGCACGTTGTAACAAGGTCCATGTTGTCAAGGGTGACCTTCCTAGGAATAGCCTTGTCTCTTGAGAAACTCTGGGTCCCTCTGGGGAAGGCAGCAACTTTCATAAAAGGTTAAAAATTGTAACTGATTTTATAGTGAGGAAAGAAACCACTAAAACGATTTAACCACAGGAAGCAGTAGCCTACTCAAATATAAGGGTAAAAGTGTGAGCATGCTGCAATAGAGGAATCGGGTATTTTGCCAAAGTTGTTTTAAAAATCAGACCTTTTATTTTTACTTTCTCTTTTTTTAATTTTTGAGACAGGATCTTTCTATGTAACCCAGGTTCCCCTTGAATTGTTGATCCTTCTGCCTCAGCCTCCCAAGTGCTGAGATCCCAAGCCTGTACCACCATGCCTGGCTCAAAACTGGACATCTTTGGTGTATTTAGCCACTTGTTTAGAGATTACTGGTTACCTGACCTGGAGACTGGGGAGGTTGAGTGACTTAAAGCACTACCTCCTTATGGCCTCTGAGGTGTGAATACTGTGTGTCTATCAGGATATGCGGCCCCTGAGCATCAGTGTGAAGGTGTCGAGCTGGGCTACCTGGGCTCTTCTCCATCCAGACTCTTGATGTTGTGCTTCATTTAAAACATGTTTTAGGGGCTGGAGAGATGGTTCAGCAGTTAAGAATACTGGTTGTTCTTGCAGAAGACCTGGGTTCAAATCCTAGCACCCACACAGCAGCTAACAACTGTCTGTAACTCCAGTCCCAGGGGATCCGACAGCCTCTTCTGTTCTCCACCGGCATTGCATGACATGGGCGCACTTACCTACATGCACGCAATACGTGCCTACACATAAAATAAAAATAATAAATGAAATAAAAAAACATGTTTTAAAACTGCTTTAATCAGACAGAGCAAGAGTATAATTCATTGCTTAGTGAAACACAAAAGTCATTCCTTTTTTTTTTTTGGAACACCCCCCACCCCCCACTAATACATATAGAAACATATAGGCAAAAGATTTGTTAGAGATCGGAAGTATCAGCACAATCAGTGCAGACAGCTCACAAGTTTTAAATGTCCTGAGAATCATTGTTTTGACAGAGATGCAGCACTTTTGCAAGTGTCAGTTGGCTGTGTGGGGCATAGCTAGTACCTAGACTTTGGATTCCACATGTTTTCTGGGACTGAGTTACAGAAAATTCAATTAATATTATAGGTATAATTTTGTGCTGTCGCAAAGCACCATTACTCATTATACACAGAACTTTGGGCTGATAAACTAATTCTTGCCGTTCTGCAGAGGTGGGATCATACTATTTCCTAGCTATAAAATTGAGAAATGGACCCAGGACTGGGAATTCTTTTTTTTGTTTCTCTCTTACTAACTCATATGGGTTGAGCTTCTCTAATGTGTACTTTTGGCTAGAGATATAATGTTCAATTTTTAAGGCTGAGAGGTGGGAAATATCTTATTTAGCATTGACTTCTTCTGGTCATATGCTCTGAGAGAGCCCAGAGAAAACAATGTGAGATAGATGGCCATACTTAGAGATTATGTTTAAAATTATCCAGCCCATTAAAAACAAAACAAAACAAAATGACTGATAGAACTACACAGTTGGGTCATGGAAGTTGAAATTTTGCTAGACGTTGGGGCAAGAGGAAGCTTATTTATATTGATGAGACTTGAACTTGTGCATGCCGGTATCTTAGTGGTCAGCCTCTAGTCGTTTATCATGTTTAGGGAGGTTCCTAGTTTAGCACGGTACCTTGCTAGTTTATGTCCACTTAAACATTTTCTATTACACTCTATCTGTATAAGAGGCAGTTGGTTGCTAAGTTTCTCCGGACTGTAAGTAAAAGCTGGTCTTGAGATGAGATCCACTGAAGATCCAAAAAAAGACTGAGGGGTTAGCTCTGCTGGTTGAGTCCTGGCACACAGAGTAAAGGGTTCTCTCAGAGTTCCTCCTCCCCTAAGAAGATGCTGATTAGCCGGTAGAAGTAGGAACAAAGCCAGAGGGCCTCTGAGAAATGAAAGGCAGATGTCTATTCCTGGCAGTGATTTGCAGATGAGCCAGTACCACAGGGCCTTTTTTGTTCTGTTTTTGGATCAATTGGCAATCCAAATCATAAATGGGAAACAGTCCCTTAATGCAACTCATTGGCCCTTTTGTTCAATTAGTGGTTGTGATGGGTTGCACATGGTGATTGTTTCATGGCATCCTAAGAGACAAATGAAATAATTTCTAAAGAAGACACTAGGAATAATTTTCTTTCAAAGTAAAAAAGTTAGAACTCCCTTTTGTGAAGGAAGAAGGCTGTTTGCCATTCCTTGGTAATCTCTTTGCTCTAGTGACTCTCTCAGGAGGAGCTAAGCTCATACATAGTTTCCTTATAACACATTTCTGTGTATTTAAAAAGATTGTTATGTGTGATGAATGTTTGCATGCCCACATGTCTGTATGTGTACCACATCTGTGCACTTGCCTGCTGAGGCCAGAAATGTATATCACATCCCCTGGAACTGGAGTTATAGGCAGTTGTGAGCTGCCATGTGGGTACTGGGAACTGAATTTAGGTTCTTTGCAAGAGCGGCAAGCTCTCTTAACTGCTGGGTCACCTCTCCAGTACTAATTTTTGTATTTTAAAGTGGCTTTCACTTTGAGTTGTCATTCTTGATGGGTATAGTATTTGGTGCCCTCTCTAACCCCATTAGATAAATGCCAGTTGACTTGGTGACTTTCTGAGTTCCCATCTATGGAGTAGCTTTCTGTGTCTCAAGTTACCCCCAAGCGTAGTATGAGGCACTGGGCTGGGCTGATAGGGTGGGCTGTGCAGACTCTATTCTCTCCTCCTTTTCCTTCAAGGTGCAATGTCACTGCAAGGTGAAATTTTTTTTTTATTTGTTAAAACTACTTTTACTCCCTGGGTCAATAAATATGTTGGTGTCATCTTAGAATTTGGGATCCCTTTTTAAAAAAATTTATTATTTTTATTTTATGTGTATGACTGTATTGCCTGCATGTATGTGAGTGCACCCATGTCGTACAATGCTGTGGAGGTCAGAAGAAGGTTTCTTCCTCTGGAACTGGAGTTAAGGATGGTTTGTAACTGCCATGTGGGTGCTGGGAATCGATCCCTGGTTCTCTGCAAGAGCAGTCAGTGCTTTTAATTGCTAAGCCATCTCTCCAGCCCCAGAATTTGGGATCCCTTAAAGAGAGATCTTAGTCTCCTCTTTAACCACATCTCATATTTCTAAGCAGTCACAAGCCTTTAGACAGGGTTGTGGATTGAGTGCTATGTTTCAGGGGAAGGAGAGTGACTGGGGTTACTTGGGCATGCTCAAACCAAAGATCATCTGAGGAACTTGAAAAATTCACAAGGCTCAGGCCACGCACCAAGCCAATTAAATCTCTGGCAGATGGAATTTCTTTCTTTTCTTTTTCTTTTCTTTTCTTTTTTGACCTATTTATTGTTATTTTGTATGTGTATGAGTATTTTTCCTGCATGTATGTAAGTGTATAACATGTACAATGTCTGTGGAGGCCAAAAGAGGGCATTGCATCCCCTGGAACTGGTTATTAGTTGCCACCTGGGTACTAGGAACCAAACCTGGGTCCTCTGCAAGAGCATCCAGTGCTTTTAATCACTGAGCCATCTCTCCAGCCCCCAGATGGTATTTCTAATGGGCAGTGGAGGCTGGGAACCACATGCTAGATTCTGCTGTATACCACAGAATAAAGGGATCCGATATCCTCTTCTAACCTCTTTGGGCACAGCATGACACAGGTGCAGTTACATACGTGCAGGCAATGGATTCATACACATAAAATAAAAACAATAAATAAAATATTTCAAAATAATTTTTTGATTTATTTGCCTTTATTTTATATGTATAAATAAATGCCCACAGAAGTCTGAAGAGGGCATCAGATCCCCTGGAACTTGGATTACAAATGGTTGTTAGCTTTCATGTGGGTGCTGGGAACTGGACCCAGGTCCTTTGCAAGAGCAGTCAGTGTTCTTAACTGCTGAACTATCTCTCCTGCCCTGAGAAGAATGTTTTTTAGAAACTACAGTGAGAGTAGGGTCTTCTGTCAGCAGGAGTACTTGGCCTTAGGAGACCAGGCCACAGAACAGTGGAGCCTGAGTTCTCTCTCTTATCCTATCCTGCAAAATTGGCGTAAATCCCATAAGGTCTGCTATGACAAAGCACACAGATCTATAGCCAAACTGACCACTAGATGTCACCACAACACCATCTTGTTTTCTGACCCTGGCGCTGGTGTTCTCAGGGCTAGATGTAGGACAGCAAGAAGGCTGTAGACACTGCCAGTCTGGAACTTACCTAGTCCTGCCACAGGCCTGCAAGATTAATTTGTGGAATATTATTGTTTTTTAATGAAAAGTAGGAATAAGGGGTAATAAAGATGCATCCATTATATACAAAGAAAAGGTGAGCAGTTACCTTGAAGTCCTTACCTGAAGAAAAGATAAGGAGCCAGACTTGACTCCAGCATACCCATTTACCCTGGAAACACTTCCTTACTTTAAGTTCTCTTATTTATTTTGTAAGTTTTTTCTTTATTTTTTGAGAATTTCATACACATATATAAATATGTTTTAGTCAAATTTATCCCCGACTCCCTCCCCTCCATCTTCTCTCACATCATCCCACACTTTTCCTTCCTAACTTCAGGTGCTTTATATAAACTCACTTAAGGCTGCTGGTATGGGCATGGGGCCACTCACTGGAGCATGGGCAGCCCACGAGGGCGGGGATAGCATCCCTGAAGCAAACCAACACTCTCCCTCCTCCAGCAGCTGTCAGTTGGCAATGCCTCTTTAGTTAAGCCACTTCCCTGCCCCTTCCCTGTCCATGCTAGGATTTTGACTGGCTTGATCTTGTGCTGGTATTCTGTATGCAGTCGCAGCTGCTGTGAATTCATGTGTACAATGGTCATATCATGTCCAGAAAACATTGTTTCGAAGCAGCCCTTCACTACCTCTGACTCTTACAATCTTTCTGCCCCCTGTTATGAGATGATCCCTGAGCCTTGAGAGGGGAGGGGAGTTGTGAGTATAGGTGTTCCATTTAGGACTGAGCATTCCACAGCCTCTTATTTCTGCACATTGATCAGTTGTCTGTTTTTGTATTAATTACCATACACTGCAAAAAGAAGCTTTTCTGATGAGGGTTGAGAGCTACACTAATCTATAGGTACAAAGATCTGCATTTAGGGGCAGTTTAATATTTGTCCACTTAGCAGAATAATGGTAGTAGGTTCTCCCCTAGAGTTATGACCTATCCAGAAAGGTTCTTGATCCAGATAACAGTATCAGACATGAGCTCTGTCTTGTGGAGTGGGTCGTAAACCTAATAAGAGAGTGTTTGGTTACTCCCTTAACATTTGTGCCATTATTGCACCAACGGGCATTTTTTGCTGAACTGGTCATTATTGTAGCTCAATTAGTTCACAGGTGGGTGAGACTGATAGTTACTTTTCTCTCCCCATAGTGTGCATAGCACTTTCCAGCACTATAGAAACTAGCCAACAGGGATGAAGCTTTTAGATCACTTCCAGGTTGATTTCTCCATGTTCTATGACTCAAATATGTGATGTTTTCAGCAATAGGGTCTTATCATCAAGTTCTGGAGGGCAACTAAGAGCAATGGCAATAACCTATAATGCTTTGAAGGATCTATAGCACCCCACTGACCATAAGTTTTATTTTCTTGAATTCCACCAAAATGGTTACCCATAACAGTAGGTAATAACTCTCTTTAAGGCCATACATGGCATTTCTGGACACACATCTTTTGTAAATATATATATATATATTAATATATATTGATAAGAATGTGTTATAAAAAGTAATTTATGTCATTGAGAGAGGAGGGGTCTGAAAGGCCCAGCAGAGAGTGGGGTCTGAAAGGCCTTATCCTCCAGCACCACCAATGTCAACACATAATAGAGCATGCACAATGAAGCCTATGTTATGTGAATGACCCGAAGCCTCCAGTACTGGGATGAAAAAGCCCCACCACTTTGTACAGTGTTTGCCATTGATCTTCTTTCTCCTGGCTCTAGCCTACTTTGTCCCTTGAAGTGTATTTTCTTTTAGTAAACACTCTGCTTTTACTGCTCTCCAAGTTCTCTGTCCAGTTTCTTGTTCTGGGACACAAGAACCTGGAAATCCCAGTGGCTGCCTACCCAACTCCCACATCTGCAGATATCATTAACATATTCTTTAACATTAAACATGTATTACTATAATTTTTATTATTAAAAAGTGAATATAATGGTTACATTCTTCAAGATAATACAGTAATAATTCAAAGATCTAGACGGCCAGCTAATTCTGTTTGGGAGAATTTAACAACTATTGTGAAATTTATTTCAACCTTTTGATTCCTAGGTTTTGGAAAGTATCCTTGGAAGTAAATAAGCTTGGCAGGAAAGTAAGCCTTGTCCAGTTGCTCCAAATTATAAGCACATTTTTTCTGACTTAACATGGTGTTGTGATACCACTCAAGCCAAGAGAACGGCTCCCTAGGGAGGAAATGTATTGAATGCAGGCTTCCTGCTGAGCCCAGCCCCAACAGGGAAGTCCTTTTGATTTGGGGAAGTGAGCAGTAGTTCCCTCTGTCATAAATAAGGAGAAAAATAACAAAGAGAGACTAGGCTCCTCAGTCTCTTGAGTTTAGAATTCTCATGCAGACTTGACTGTACTGTGTGGGAAGTGGTCACTAAGAAATGCTGCCACCCAAGAGCCATGGAAGTGAGGCACGGTGGCCCCTGCCGGAGCCTGAACTGCATAGCCAGCTTTTCTAGCTGCTTCTCTTTTTGTCTCCTACAGGTCCACAGCTTGAAGGGGTACTGGGCAAAGCTGAATTCCAACCTAGAGTATGTTAAGTACACCAAGCCCCACTTATACTATCACAACAGTATGGTCAGGAGAGAGTGGCACAACCTGATCTCTGAAGAGGTATGTGTGGCCAGTGACAGCACTGGTGGGCAGCAAAGGCTTAGAAAGGCCAATCACAGGGCTGGCTCATGGGTCCACTCTTCCCATCCCCAGGCTGTGTTGTCTTGCTGACCTCCCAGTGGGTAGTCAGGCTGCTTCTAGTGTCTCTTTCTTTGGAGTACAGAGAGGTGAAGGCACATACAGCACACTCAGAATAGATGTATAAATAATATCCATGTTTCAGATGTGTTGCTGGGTTACTTGCATACCTAATGTTGACTTAGAAAAATCTAGGTGTTCCCCAATTAGCGATTGCTAGGGGTTAAGGAAAAAAGAATCAGTGAGACTGACTATAAAGGAGTCATACAAGGGGGATATTTGGGGAAATAGAATAGTTCTCTATTTTGATTATGGTGGTACATTGTAGTACATGAACCTTTACACATGATAAAATGGCATAGAATTACATACACACATTGTACAATGGCAGGTCCCTGATTTTGGTACTGTAGTGTAGTTATGTCTCCCTTAAGGTACATGAGATCTCTGTACTACTGTTGTTTATAGTTCAGTCTTGTTACATATAGTTGACTTACAAGTTTCTGTGATGATGCTGCCTGAAAATAAAATGTTTAGTGTTTACTTTTAAAAAGCAATATAGGTGTTCTTATTAATGGGGGAATATAGTCATTATTTCTGACGTTCTTAAGTACATGGCTTTATGTTCTTAATGTTTAAAAAAATCCACAAAATCTTTACCTTCCAATTACTGATGTGTTCCTAGAAAACAGGAAGAAGGTCCACGGTATATGTGAGAAACATTCTTGATAATGCAATTAAGTAAGTAAAATCAAGGTTTCTACATCTGTCAGATGTCTGTCTTTCATCTTGTTTGCTACTTTTATTGTATAGTCTCAGCAAAATGATGCTTTTGAGTCTATGAACACCACTTGACTCTATGAACATCAGTTCTAGTGGGAAAATCGTCTAGGCTAAGCTTTGTAGACTTGTACCCTGGAATAGATGAACTATGATGGATAAGTGATAAAAAAAGGCTTTTATTAGGGAGTACTTTTGAGGATGAAAATAGAAAGTAGGTTGATTTTTTTTTTTTTAAGTTCTTAGTGGTCTGGGATGCTTGCTCTTATTTTGAAAGCATGTTTTCTGGGCAGATGAGTCATCTTAGAGTGCTAAAAGTATAGGCTTCATTCCAACCACTATTCTATTTTCTGTCTTCATTATTTCCAATAACCGAGAGCAGCAATTGTTCTAAATAATTGCTGTTGTTGGCACTAAAGGGCTTTGAGACATAATTGCTCAATGTGCCTTTTGGTATATTGATTAAAGTTCCTGAGGTTACCATGAGCCTGAGAACAGTTTCTGCAAGAGTCTTAAGGGGCTTTAAAGGAGGATATCTTTGTACAGTGTTTTTACATTTTAAAAAATGATGCTTCCTTTGTAAATAACAGTCAATTTCTTCACAGGGTGATTTCTTACATGGAAACAAGGAATTTGGGTAAGAAAAGACCTGCTTTTAAACCTTCCCGAGTTCATGTTTTGGTGTAACACTGTTCTTCCTAACCAGTGGGTTGGCAAGAAAATCACTTTCACACCACCTGTGAGAGTGACCACGTAGCCACTTACATGTCCACCTTGGCACCAGGACCTTCAGGGATAGCTGCTGAGTGTGCTTTTGCTGGAGGAGGCTCTGGGATCTGGCCTTCTGGTTTTCCCCATTTTCCCTCTGAGAGCTGATCTAATTAGCATGGCTGTACCACAGGGTGTACTTGGCAGTTGTCTTGCATGGGTTGAGCTCTCTCCAGCTGTCTGATAAACAGAGTTTTTGACTTATATGTGCCTTTTATTTTGGTTATACCCTGAGCTTAGTCCCAAGGAGCAAAGATGAGCCTGCAGGTCAGCAGTATGGTTCTAGACGCCAGCTTAAATTCCAAAACTTCTTAATGCTAGCCATAGATAAATTGTTCTTAGTCAGTACCTAGTGTATGTGGGGTACCAGAGGCTGCTTCATCGTGTGTGTGTGTGTGTGTGTGTGTGTGTGTGTGTGTGTGTGTGTGTGTGTGTGTGTACATCATTTCTAAACCAAGTGACAGGCTGATAGGTGTTACCTAATTCTTGGGTTCAGGGGGTAAGGGATATGGGCAGGAGGGGAGTTGAAGGAGACGAGAGGGAGATCGGAGGAGTCTTTCCAAAAGGGAGTGTTAGCTAAGTTAAACCTTGACAGATAGGGCGGTTTAGCCTGTGATAACTGGGGGAGGAAAATGGTGAATATATCCAGTTCTGAGCCTTTGTTGTGCTGGTGTTCACAGTAATACTTTCATGCCTCCTGAAGGTCAGCCTTCATTAAGGAAACAATTTTTATCCACTCCTGTTTCATGGGTTTGGACGTTTTAGGTATGTGTTGGGGAACCCTAACAAAATTAATTACAACAGTGTGTAGCAGTTCACCCATCAGCTGTATACACAGCCCAGTGAACCATGAAGGTGACTAGACTCCACAGGAACTAGCTTCAGCCTGTATAACCAGGCTGTTGGAGCCTGTAGCCAGGAGTTCTGACCTGCCAGACAGGGTGTGGATGTGTCCAGGGCCATCTTCTTTGTGTGGCTGAGTTTTGCAGTGTGGGAACTGTTACTGCTGGCCTAGGGGAAGGCTTCAGATGGTGTGTACTCTGCCTGCTTTCAGTTCCTCTGGTCGGTGCTTGCTTGCTGTTTGCTGGTCAGTCTCTCCCAATGTACTTTAGGAAACTGCCTCTTCCTCTCATATTTACTTCCTTTGAAGAATGCTTTCACTGCCAGAAGCAGAACACTGCAAAATGTATGTTGGGTTCACATTCTGAATGTTTTATCTTAATCCAGAGGGTTGAGTGCATTGGGGTGGTGTTTATCCTGAAGATTCAGGCAGTGCCCATGCCTATCCAGAAGGAAGCATTATTCTGTGGGTTCTGCCTTCCTGCCTGTCTTTGGGCCTCTGAGATTCTGAGAAAGAACAAAGTAGAAGCTATGTTGGGGGAGTCACAGGGCAGACCAGCCAGGCAGCCTGCTTGCCTGTTCCTCCTGTCTTGCTAGCGTAGGGTCAGTCAGTGAGGGGGGATATAAAATTTGATTTAACCTTCATACTACCATTACATCTTGACCTAGTGGCCTCTCCAGTCTGACAACTTGTGTCAATCAGTATTATTTGCCACAGTTTATGACTGTTCCATTAGCTCAGTAACTTCTAAGGTCATTGAACTATGGGGGATCAGGATGTAGAAGGGGGACCACCCAGTCTTCCATCAAGCCCCAACATCTTTATAGCTATGCCCCTTTGAGGGTTTACTGTCTCCAGTGAGGGGAGAGCTTCTTAGAAGTTGGTTAATCCTAATGTTGACTAGAAATCAAAGCCAGAACCTACTGGTGTGGTCAAAGTGTTTCTGTTTTCCTTTTTCTAGGGCTTTCTCTGTTTTGCAGGACTCATCACCTGAGGGATAAGTTCAGCTTGTAGGACTAGGTGACACTTAGGTATTGAGGAAATTTCAGCCTGTCATGGAAGTGTTATGTTTTCCCAGTGACTCAGAGAAGGCAAACTTGGGCTGGTTCTTCTAACCCACTTCCTGAAAGCTACCCATTTGACTGCTATGCTGTTCAATTTCAGAGCCAAGGTTAATACCTCTCTTTCAAGAGGAAGATAACCACCAGCGGCTACTCATGGGTCTGGTACGTAGTCTGCTGGCTTCTCCATGCTGGCAAGCAGTGATCCCAAGGAAATTTTCCACTATGTTTTCAACAAACGGTTGCTGCCAACATGGCAGACCCCAGGTGTCCAGTGGCGAGCAGAGCACAGATGGTCTCTGCCTTCTTGGGCTGTGTAGTCTAGTGGAGGCGACACATTAGTCACACGAATAAGCATGTAATTGTTGGCCATGATATGGGATATATGTCATGAAGAGTGCTTAAAAAAGAAAGTAATGCTTTTGTGTGTTTGTGTTTTTATTTTATTTTTGAGAATTTCATACATGAGTATTTGCATTATTCCCATCCCTCCCAGTCCCCTGCACCTTCTCCCAAGACCCCCGACTCACTCTCATTTTTGTTCTCTTCTTTGATGCTAAATATATATTTAATAATAATATATCACATTTATATTATACATATTATATATATATATATAATGCACTGAGTTCATTTAATGGTGCTTATGTGTACCCAAGAGTAACACTCTCGTGGCATTTGTATTTGGTGTTTAAAATACAGCAGAGGAGGGCTGGGATGGTAGCTCAGTCAGGAAAGTGCTTCCATGCAAGTAGGAAGACCTGAGTTTGGATCTTTGGCAACCACATAAAAGTCAGTATAATGACATGTATCTGTAATCCCAGCCCTGGGGAGGCAGAGACAGGCAGATCCCTGGAGCTCAGTGACTGACCAGCCTAGCTGAATCAATAAACTGCAGATTCAGTGAGAGATGCTGTCTCAAAAACCAAGATGGAGAGTAACTGTGGAAGACACTCAGTGTTGACTTCTGTCATCTATATACATGCATACCTGCACCCACATGAACACATTCATATACCATACACATAAATAAATAAGTAAATAAACTAGGATATTATTTTTGAAATTCTAATGACAGGATGACCAAAGAAGCAGAAATAAAAATAAATTAATTGAACAGTGGAATTGACAAATAAATACAAAAGCTTTTCAAAGTGATGAGTTATCTAGAAATTCTAATAAAATGTTTCTAATAATATACAGACTTTAGAATGACATAATATGTTACCTTAGATACAATAGCAAGTTAGAAATATGAGAGAAATAGATATAACTCCATCTTCACACTCCTGATATTTCCATTTAAATGAAGAGTTTTCTTGTTGAATAGAAATGGCAAAACTTGATACAAAAAGAAATAATCCAGAAGCAGCTGGCAAAAGAACTCATTGAGTAGAGGCACTGTGCACAAGCCTGGTGGCCCGAGTTCTAGCCCTGCATCCCCAAGGTAGTAGAAAACCCACACCTGGTTCTCTCACCTCCATCCTGCATCCCCAAGGTAGTAGAAAACCCACACCCCGTTCTCTCTCCCCCCCCCGCTCACACACACACACACACACACACACACACACACACACACACACACACACACAGAGTAAATAAATATCCTGTAAACACAGTATCTGTGAATTAATTTGAAAAATTTGTCAAAGATTATTTCCAAAGAAGGTCTCTAATTCTCTCAAACTTTCAAGGACCAGCTTATCCTCATATTGTGAAAAGTAATTTTTTGAAAGAAGATAGAAAGTGTCTTGGTCCTTTTAAAGAGTTCACACACCTTAGAACTAAAATCCAACAGTGATCACACCTATGAATCTAGAAGCTATATGCCTAATTAAAATACCTTCCAGTGGTCTCCTGAAAACATACTAGAGAGATGTACAAGGAACTGTATCAATGAAAGTCACATTACAAGGGAGACTTAGTATCAGGAATGTGTTAGTGAAATTCATATTACAAAGTCAAAGAGGAAGAAACAATCTCTCCAGGTGCTGAAAGAGAAGATGTCAAATTCAATAACTGGGATATAGTAACTCAGTAAGACAAATTGTCTAATTTTAATAGCCAAGATATTTTTAATAGAATTCTAGAGATATTCCTTTAGTCACAAAGAAGTTAACAATCTGTTATTTAAAACATAATTTTACATTGTTCTGAAAATTGTAATCACTGCACTGAGATGTTATGACTGCCTAATTAAGTGGTCA